GGGGAGAGACGCCCCGTCGCGGCGGAGAGCCGGGCCCGCCAAGGCGCGTCAGGCCCCCTGCCTGGCGGGTGGCAGAGGGAGGCGTCAGGCCTGTGTGGGACCCGCGTGTCGGCGGGAATGCGTCCCCCTGCTTAATCCCGGCCGGGGGTGGGGGGTGGGGTCCCGCTCCCGCCCCTCACCCCAGAGCCCTGCGGTGTGTGGCCACCTTCGAGAGGCGATTCAGACTTTCCACAAGGAAATGGGACGAAACAGCACGAGGAGTGTTTTCGGGCTTCCTGTGGGCTGGCTTCCCTTAGGTTCAAGCTAGCGGGCTTATACCGGTGGGCGGAATACCCTAAAGTGGCTCAAGATACCCAGTAACGGTAGCTTCTTAAAGACCAGCCTATCCTCAGTTCTTTAGGCACAGTGTACCGGTCGGGCTTTTAAGTTTCCTTGCCATCTCATGTGTCTTTTGGCTGTTTTATTACTTTTTAGCCCCTATGCGAAAATTGTGCGAGGAATAAGGGGAATTTCAAGTTGGTCATTTGTATTACGATAGAAGCAAAATTATGCAACACAATTGGCCAGAGATATTTCTCCATAGTGAACAAAACGTCATTGGTTGCCTTTCCTCACCCTAGTAGTTAAGCGTACGGACATAAGGTGTATAAATTTTTGCATCTTAGCATTTTGTGAAAGTTGAACAATAGAGGCTGTTTCCTTCATTGTTGTGGGGAATTTCAATGGATGATAGCTTCCTGTTGATTGGGAGAAGCATCAATGATCTTGGCTTTGAAACTGTACATACTTGGTGGTGTTATGTAAATGCGTCTTTAAAGAACTTTTAGCACATAGTCTTGCATCTCTACATTGTGCAGTTTTGCTGTAGGTAGGTAGTGGGAGGGGTATGAATGTAGGTAGATCCCTGCACTAAGGGATCCAGAGCACAAATCAGACCGGTTTGTCCCACTTGGGAAACAGCGATGATAATAACGATGCCTTTATATTTTCTTGGTTCTTGGCCGTTTTTAAGTGTTTGTCCCCAACATCATGTATTTGAGCAGAATAGTTTCTGATAGGACTTAAGAAGGAATTACCAAGCTGCATTTCTAAGGTAGCATATGAACATCATGCCCTTGAAAAAATAATTTTTTTCCTCATTCAAATGGAAGCCCTTAAAAATGTTTTAAATCAGAACAATACCACTTGTTCAAATGATAGTGACGTTAACCAACATTCACTGCCTGCTTCTCATATGCCAACCTCTTTATATTTTTTCCTAATCCTTCTCTCAAGCCTGTGGGGAAGGTGTCATTACTGTTTTATGGATAAGAAAAAGATCTCGAAGAACCATGTTTAGTCTCAAGTCTGTCTGTTTTCAAAGTCTGTGCTTACTCCATTTTGCCTCCTAAATTATCCATGGGAAGAAAGGCAGAAGGTAGACAGGAAAAGAAAAGGCAAGTGCCACTGATGATTAGGTTGCCCATACCTGACTTAAGAATTTAACGTTAGGCCACCTGGGTGGCTCAGTCGGTTGAGCCTCCCGACTCTTGGTTTCAGCTCAGGTCATGATCTCGCGGTTCGAGGTTGGTAAGTTTGAGCCCCGCATCGGGCTCTGCGCTGCTTAGGATTCTGTCTCCCTCTCTGCCCCTCACTCCTCAAGCTCTCTTTCACTCTTCCAAAATAAATAAATAAATAATAAATAATTTAAAAAGAATTTAATGTTAAACTCATTCTTAGTTTTTAGAAATTAACATTTTTACAAAATTGCATCCATGCTTTGTCTTCATTTCTTCCCTGTTTGGTTTTTATAAAGGTAAATAGAAATGCATTTAATTTAGAAGGTCAAGGCTTTCAGAGTCCTTTGTGCAGATCTCCACTCCAGTACCTTGTGATTGTGATAAATCCTGTGTGCTCTTCCAAGGACCAGGCCTTACTCACTTTTGTATCTAACACGGTACTTGGCATGTAGTAGGAGCACAGTAAATGTCAGCTAACTAAGGAGCAGAGTTAAAAGTGTAATGATTTTGGGTTTGTTTTAGCGGTTTTAGTTTCACAGGACAATAATAAAGTAAATAATTCATGTGCAAAATGCACGTTCTAGAAGAATACGGAAATGGAGCAACTCATGGTGTAGAAGGTTGGCTCTGCCAGTTTGCTGAATCTTCCAGTTCCCCTTATCTCTTTGAGCTGTGTGCCATTCTGCTCTTCCTTTCATCCCCAGAGTTCTAAAAGAGGAGGCTGTACTGACTGCTTCTCTTCACTGCTCAAGTTTTTCTTTGAACCTTTGCAGCCTGGCTCCCAGCCTTACCACTCGCTGAGGCTTTTTCCAAGGTTGCCAATTACCTAATGGTTAAAATTCCCAGAGCATCTTTTCGGGATTTATCCTGTTATGTCTCCCTGCAGCAGTCCTTTTGACTATCCCTACCTCTTTAAAAAACGTTATTTAAAAGATTACATACAGTGGGGTGTGTGGGTGACTCAGTTGAGCATCTGACTCTTGATGTGGGCTCAGGTCATGATCTCGTGGTCATGGGATGGAGCCCCACGTCAGACTCAGTGCTGAGCATGGAGCATGGGATTCTCTCTCTCTGACCCTCTCCCCCATCCTCTCTCTCTCTACCTCTCTCTCTCAAATTAAAAACAAAAATAACATACAGTAACATTAACTTTTAGTATGTGTACAGTTCTATGAATGTTAACACAGGTATAGATTCGTGTAACCACCACGACAATCAGGATGGTTTCACCATCTCCCAAAAAGTTCCTCCTCATACTGTATCCCTTTTGATATAGTATGAGGACTTCTTTCTCCTGACTTCTATCCCAGAGATAAACACCAAGGATCAGACTTAGGCTCCTTTTGTTGTTGTTTTATTTTTCTCTTTCTACTCCTGGAAAATGTTATTTACTTTTGGGACTTAAACTGTCACCTTTGTATCTGCTAACCTGAATATCCACGTCTGACCTCTCTTCCCATACTCCAAAACATCAATATTTACTGCTAGAATTCTTCACTATTTGTTCATATTTCATATGTTTAAAGTTATGTTTAACTTTGCCTCCTAAGCTAGCTCTTTATCCGATTTTTCTGTATTTTTTGGTGATGCCATCCTTCTCCCTGCTGGCGACCCTGGAACACTCGGAGGGCCCTATAATAAACTCTCTTATCCCAGACCTGGAATCCTGCTACTCAGCTACAAATATTGGCTCCTGCCTCTTTGCTGCCAAGCTGGCTCCCATTCAGTAGTCTGAGCAGAGTGTAGGTAATTGGAGTACTTAGAACGCCATGGGGATCAGACCACTTCTCTGGTCAAAACCCCTGTGGCTTCCCGCTGTACTGAGGCCCTTTTGGGATTTTATTTTTCATCCTATGAGACTCTGAACGGTTGGCCTCTGCCTGCCCCTCCAGCCTTCCCTTGTCTCTTTTATGGCCCACTCCCCTTTCTGATGTCCTAATTACTCAGTCTTTCTTTCAGTTCCTTGAATTACCCAGACCTTTTCTTCGCAGCCTCAAGGTTTTTGTACGCACTACTCTCCTGGCTTGGGCTGTTCTTCCCCCGCTTCCCCCTTAATCTTCACCCACCTGCCTCCAGGGTTGCGATTAAAATGCCACTTCTTCAGAGAGGCTCTCCTTTATGGCCTCCCACCACCACCCCAGTCCACCCTCAGTCAGGTCTCTCAGATCTCTTGTTCCTTTTTCGTAGCTGTCGCCACAATTTGTGATTCAGGACCACGTCTGTTTTGTTTCTCTTGTCTCCAGAGCCAGCCAAGCTTCAGGCTCACGGCAAACCCCCAGTAAATATTCGTTGGCTGTGTTGTGAGTCTGGGCTTTGCTTTTATAATTTATTGCCCTCTTGTAGTTTCTGGTAGCCTTGCATTCTACTCCTACCTTCTCTGGGACTTGATCTCACTGTTGGAAGTCTTGCCACACAGAG